GAGCTAAACGTTGGGTACACATGGTCATAAAAATGGGAACAAGAGACGCTGGGGAATACAGGAGGCAAGAGGGAGGAATTGTGGGGTAAGGGCTGAGAAAACCTACCTACTGAGCACCATCCTCACTACCTGGGCGCTGGATCCATTTGTATTCCAGACCTCAGGGACACACAGCATGTCCACGTAACAGATCTCCACATGGACTTTCTGTTTCTAAAATCAAAGTTAAAGAAGACTGTGAGACCTGCCCAGTGGCCAGCTGGCTGTGGATCTTCTCCTCCACCAATGAGGCTGCATTACTTCATCCTCCTCTCCCTGGGAGGGGGAGCAGGGGTGGGGCCGTTGTGGCCACAGTGGCTGACTCACATTGTGGTGAAAGGAGCTTCTCCCATCTGACTTCTTTCCCAGCCTTGGTCAGATGACTCCACATTCGACCTGGCATTTATTTCCTGAGGCAGGAACCTAGATCCAGGTTGCCTGGACTCAGGATCGGCCCTTTATCCGGGGGCTAACCAGAAATGACAGGCACGTGAACCACGCAGCTTGGGCTGGCTGCAGCTGGTGAGTGACCACATGGCTTGAGCAGGCCACCTCCTCTTGGGCTGATGACTCACCCTCACGTGTGGAGTCAGGCACCAGGAGACTCATCTCGAATTGGCCCTGTAATCTTCTTCTGCATTCCTCTTCTCCAAAAGGGAAAATCAACATACAACCCTTTGTTACAAATTTTAATTCCTGGTTTTCTGTAACCAAGACTCATGCCTCGTTTTTCTCCAAGACAGACATAAGTAGAACATTACAGCAGATGCTCATGGTGTGTGTGCCCAGCCAAGTCTTAATCAGACCAGAAGGGGTCTTTTCTTTTCTCTCTCTCTTTTTTTTTTTTTTTTTTTTTTGGAGTCAGAGTCTCGCTCTGTCACCAGGCACCAGGCTGGAGTGCAGTGGCGTGATCTCAGCTCACTGCAGCCTCCACTTCCTGGGTTCAAGCAATTCTCCTGTCTCAGCCTCCCGAGTAGCTGGGACTACAGGCGTAGGCCACCATGCCCAGCTAATTTTTGTATTTTCAGTAGAGATGGGGTTTCACCATGTTGGCCGGGATGGTCTCAATGTCTTGACCTTGTGATCCACCAGCCTTGGCCTCCCAAAGGGCTGGGATTACAGGTGTGAGCCACCGTGCCCAACCCAGAGGGGGTCTTCTCTTAACATTGATATGTGACAGCCAGTGTTCACATTAGCCCAGTAACTAGTACCATTGAAAAGATACGGTTTTTTGGCCAGGATCACTGGAGGTCGGTTGTTCAGTACCACCCTGGCCAACATGATGAAACCCTGCCTCTACTAAAAAATAAAAAGATTTAGGCACCCGTGGTGGCACACACCTGTAATCCCTGTTACTTGGGAGGCTGAGGCAGGAGAATTGCTTGAACCCTGGAGGTGGCGGTTCCAGCGGGCGGAGACGGTGCCACAGTACTCCAGCCTGGGTGACAGAGCAAGACTCCGTCTCCAACAAAAAAAAGAAAGAAAAGATACAATTTTCACTTCATCTCTTCTTCCTGCCATTGCTTACTTTAGAGGAAGCCAGAATTGGTGGTAAAAGGCCAAAAGAGAAGATGGCAGGAAAAGGCAGAATGTGAAGCAAATCATTAGAACAAGCACTGGGGTGCCTCATCAGTAAAGTTACTGAGCAATTACTATGTAGGGAACTGTGGATACGTAAGGGTTAAGACACAACCCTTAGATTACTCTCTGGCTAAGGAGTGAGATGCAGAAGAAAGGCAAGTCTAATATAGAGTGGGAATTGATGCTAGTCAAGTGATAGAGACAGCGGAAATCACCAAAGAAGCTGGGAAGCCATGATGGAGCTGCAGCCCGTCTGTGGTGGTGGATGCCCAGGCTGGCCGGGCATGGGACTGCAGTATACCTGTATGGGCACCAAATGCCAGAATCAACCAGGATCCATGAATGGGTTCCTTCCCAGGTGTCAGCTTTGCTCCTTCCTGATCTATTCTGAACTCACGGAAAATAGCTGTGGGTCTAGCGGGGAAAGTTACATATCTAGTTTTGAATTGTCTTGAGGCCACCCAAACACTTGTCTTGTGAAGTTGTAGGGTTCAGAATAAATGTTACAGGAGTCATTCTGCTTTCTCATCCTGTTCTGCACCTGGAATGTCACGAGCCTAAACAGATAAAGGGACTGACCCAAAGAGCTCCCCAAGGTGAAGGAGCAGCTAGAACAGGAAGTGCATAAGAATTCAAACCCAGGGGGCTGGCACAATGATTGCACCGTGCCCAGGACAATGGAGGCCACTTGTGCCTGCCTGAAGCCCCAGGCAAGCGGGACGCATTTCCATGGCACGGGGGTGCAGGCGGGAGCTGCATTAGTTCTTCACTGGGCTGCGTTTCTATTAGCAGATCCTGCTGTGCCTGAGATCGTTAAGTCAGATGAATGAAACTTTGTCAAACAGAAGTGCTCAGGGCACAGCCTGAGGCTCTGTCTGCTTCTCAAGGAATTGCCCATTGGTATCTGCCAGGTGCAGGTGCTCATCACTGACATCTGTGTCTCTTCACAAGGGACTGTTGTGGCAGGAAGATCGGGTGGTTTTTTTGCTTTTGTTTTTGTTTTTCTGGGTCTCACTTTGTCACCCAAGCTGGAGCGCAGTGGCGCGATCTCGGCTCACTGCAACCTCTGCCTCCTGAGTTCAGGCGATTCTCCTGCCTCACCCTCCCGAGTGGCTGGGACTACAGGCATGTGCCACCATACCTGGCTAATTTTTTTGTATTTTTATTTTATTTATTTATTTATTTATTTATTTTTTATTTTTTATTTTTTTTGAGACGGAGTTTCGCTCTTGTTACCCAGGCTGGAGTGCAATGGCGCGATCTCGGCTCACCGCAACCTCCGCCTCCCGGGTTCAGGCAATTCTCCTGCCTCAGCCTCCTGAGTAGCTGGGATTACAGGCACGCACCACCATGCCCAGCTAATTTTTTGTATTTTTAGTAGAGACAGGGTTTCACCATGTTGACCAGGATGGTCTCGATCTCTTGACCTCGTGATCCACCCGCCTCTGCCTCCCAAAGTGCTGGGATTACAGGCTTGAGCCACCGCGCCCGGCCTATTTATTTATTTTTAGATGGCTTTTCGCTCTTGTCATCCAGGCTGGAGTGTCGTGGCGTGATCTCGGCCCACTGTAACCTATGACTCAGGGTTCAAACAATTCTCCTGCCTCAGCCTCCTTAGTAGCTGGGATTACAGGCACCTGCCACCATGCCTGGCTAATTTTTGTATTTTTACTAGAGACAGGGTTTCACCATGTTGGCCAGACTGGTCTCGAACTTGTGACCTCGAGTGATCTGCCCGCCTTGACCTCCCAAAGTGCTGGGATTACAGGTGCGAGCCACCGTGCCCAGCCTGAAAGATGAGTTTTTATATTATTATTTTTTTTTCTTTTTTGAGATGGAGTCTCGCTCTGTCACCCAGGCTGGAGTGCAGTGTTGCCATCTTGGCTCATTGCAACCTGCACCTCCCAGTTTCAAGTGACCCACCCGTCTCAGCCTCCTGAGTAGCTTACAGGCATGTGCTACCATGCCTGGCTAATTTTTTTGTATTTTTAGTAGAGACGGGGTTTCACTATGTTGGCCAGGCTGGTCTCTAACTCCTAACCTCAAGCGATCCGCCTGCCTTGGCCTCTCAAAGTGCAGGGATCAGAGGCGTGAGCCACCGCGCCGGGCCTGAGGGGTGCATTTTGAAATGAGCTGTCATTAGGTTCTGCAACACACTCCTTTGTTCTTTTCCTCCTGCTTGGACAATGCCAAGGCTGTTGCCAAGGCAGAATCTCCAGCCCTGGAAGGAGGCAGCTGATGAGGCAGGAGCCTGAAGTTCAGGAAGGAGCCGCAGGTCTCCGTGCCTGACGAGTTCAGAGCAGGTTCCTCGTTTTCAAAAGTTCCATGCTTTGGCTCTTCATCATGGAAAAATGCAGAATTAAAAGTTCAAACTCAAATGGGAGAAATGCCTGTGAATTAATATTTTATGGAAATAAAAACAGGAAATAATACAGTCTACATACTGCACGATGTTCTATGTATGAAGATGCACGTGTAAGAGAATATTGGCCGGGCGCAGTGGCTCACACCTGTAATCCCAGCGCTTTGGGAAGTCAAGGTGGGAGGATCACTTGAGCTCAGGAGTTCAAGACCAGCCTGGGCAAATTAGTGAGCTATCATCTTCATCCTTTTTTTCTAGAATAAAATTTAATTTAAAAGAATATTGGGGCCAGGTGTGCTGGCTCATGTCTGTAACCCCAGCACTTTGGGAGGCCGAGGCGGAGGTATCACTTGAGCCCAGAAGTTTGAGACCAGCCTGAGTAACGTAGCAAGACACCATCTCTACAAAAAAATAAATAAGCAGGGTGAGCAGGGTTTCGTGGTTCACACCGATAGGCCCAGCTATTTGGGAGGCTGAGGCGGCAGGGTCGCTGAGCCTGGTGACCAAGGCTGCAGTGTGAGCTGTGATGATACCGTTGCACCGTGGCCTGAGTGGCAGAGCAAGACTGTCACAAAAATCAGTCCTGGAACCTTGGAAGGAAATACATCAAAATGTTAGCTGTGGGTCATGAGAGTAGGGAAGGTTTTTCTTGATTGTTTCCTACATTTAACTGCATTTAAGTTTCCATCAGCGAGCATGCATTATGGCTTGTTTTTCCCGCTTTTTGTTTCTCTAAGACACAGTCTTGCGTTGTCACCCAGGCTGGAGTGCTGTGGCACTATCTCAGCTCACTGCAACGTCTGCCTCTGGGGTTCAAGAGGGATTCTTGTGCCTCAGCCTCCCAAAGTGCCGGGATCACAGGAGTGAGCTACCATGCCCAGCCACGTGTTTTGTTTAAACTCAGACAGTGCACAGTATGGTTACAGCGAAATCCCAGCACCCCTGCGCTGGGGGCAGGATCTGGGCAGAAGGAGGACTTGACCCTAACACTGAGCTTGGTGACTCCGTCTCTCTGCAGGAAAGGCCGAGGGGGATGGCAAGATGCACATCACCCTCTGTGACTTCATCGTGCCCTGGGATACCCTGAGCACCACCCAGAAGAAGAGCCTGAACCACAGGTACCAGATGGGCTGCGAGTGCAAGGTAAGCGGGTCCCGCCTCCACCGGGGGCATCACCTCCTCCCACTGCCTCCAGATGGACTGCGGGGTTTTGGTCCCTGGCTTTCCAGGGCCTCTTAATCCTCAGGTCCTGATTTAAGACTGGGCTCCGGGAAGGTCTGCTCCTCCCAGGAATGAGGCTGTCTGGCCGGAGACAGAGCCTTTGGCCCCCGGTCCCTGGAGAGCTCTGAGACACATGCTGCCAAGGGATGTCTGGAGGCTGGGCGCGGTGGCTCAGCCTGTAATCCCAGCACTTTGACAAGCCAAGGTGAGCAGGTTGCTTGAGGTCAGGAGTTTGAGATCAGTGTGGTCAACATGGTGAAACCCTGTCTCTACAAAAAACACAAAAATCAGCCAGGTGAGGTCATGCATGCCTGTGATCCCAGCAACTTTGGAGGCTGAAGCTCGAGAATTGCTTGAACCTGAAAGGTGGAGGTTGCAGTGAGCCCCAAGATCGCACCACTGCACTCCAGCCTGGGTAACAGAGTAAGGCTCCATCTCAAAAAAAAAAGTGGGGGGACGTCTGGAAGGCTAGGAGATTTGAGAGTAAGAGCATGAATTCAGCTCTGTTACCTGTAGCTTCTAGCAAAAGGAGCTGTATGGGGAGAATATAGTCCTATGGATAATTTTCTTCAAATGTGCAAGTGTAAACGCTTGTGAGAGGGCGCTGCAGGCGTTACGATTTTTCCAACATTCCCGACATTTCCACACCGGGTCAGTGTCTACGTGGGGTCTGTGTTGAGAACACCTGAATGCCAGCTCCTGTTAAAATCAGCCCGGAGGTTGTGCACAGCCCTAGCAGCGCAGCTCTGAGATGTGGCTCTGGAGGGGGAGATCGCCGCCTCCACGGCTCCCATGGGCTGCTAGCACCCTGTCCCCGCCCTCCCCGCAGGAAGCATTGCTGAGTGCTAGGTACCCCCTGCCCCCCCAGTCATCCGCAGTGAGTCTGGGACCAGAAGACTCGGGTGAGGCTGCAGGGATCGGCCTTCCCTGGGAAGCTGCCTGGGGCCACCCTCCCTCCCAGTGGCCGCCAGCCCCTTCTCAGCAGGTTCGGAACAGGAATTCTGAACCCAGTCTCCAGCCATATGTATATTAAGCAAAACTCCTCTGTGCCCAACATGAAATCAAAGCAAGTTCTTCCTTTTTCTTTCCACGGCCGTTAGGGTGGTCAACCTCTTGTATCCTTGGGCTCCTTTACTGAATTGCTAGTTGCCGATGACCTTGTCTGGGGCTTGAGAGCAAGAACGGGCCTTTTCCCGGCCTTTTTTGCTTGGCTGGAATCTATCTCCAGGAGACCCAGGCCCTTTTATCATTGCTTTGTCCCTGGGAGGGCAGGGCCAAGCTGAGGCCATTCTCTCATGCTCAGGGAGGTAGACGAGATGGCTCAAAGGGCGGCACAGCTGCAGCAGTAGGGGGGCTGCGGTGGGCGGGGCACGGCATCCCTGCAGGGGAGCCCCCCTCTCAGGCCAGCCGCCTGCCGCTGCAGGAGCTGTGGGACTCTGGAGAGGCTGCCATCCCTGCATACCGCAGACAGGCACGTTGCCGGGGTCTGGACCTGCCCCCTGAGCAGCCTCCGCCCACCCCTCCCTGGGTCCTGACGCCATCTCCCTCCGTGTGCCCCCCCCTCAGATCACACGCTGCCCCATGATCCCATGCTACATCTCCTCCCCGGACGAGTGCCTCTGGATGGACTGGGTCACGGAGAAGAACATCAACGGGCACCAGGCCAAGTTCTTCGCCTGCATCAAGAGAAGCGACGGGTCCTGCGCATGGTACCGTGGTGCGGCGCCGCCCAAGCAGGAATTTCTCGACATCGAGGACCCATAATCGGGCCCGCCACAGCCCTGTGGCCAACTGCAAAAACTCCAAGGGTTTCGACTGGTCCAGCTCTGACATCCCTTCCTGGAAACAGCATGAATAAAACACTCATCCCATGGGTCCATATTAGTGCGATTCTGCTCCCCGCTTCTCCTTATAGACACGGTTGTGGGTCTGGAGGGAGACGTGGGTCCAGGGTCCTCATCCCATCCTCCCTTCGCCAGGCACTGTGTCTGGGGCTTTGATCCTTGGGTGCAGGGCGGGGACACGTGGCTTCCCTCCCAGTCCCTGCCTTGGCACTGCCACAGACGCCGAGCAGGCAGCACTTGGGGATCTCCCAGCTGGGTTAGGGCAGGGCCTAGAAATGCGAATTTTGCAGAAACTTTTGAGGGTCATTGCAAGACTGTGTAGCAGGCCTACCAGGTCCCTTTCATCCTGAGAGGGGCATGGCCCTTGTTTTCTGCAGCTTCCACACCTCTGGCCCTACTGTAGCACTCTCTGCCCCTGGCAAGTGCCCCTGTCGCCCCAGTGTCCACCATGAACTCCCAGCACCTGTGACTCCCCCATATCCAGGGGCAGCCTGGAACCAATGGCTCATTCTCCAAGGAGCCCCATCCATCCTATTAATCCTCAGAATTCCAGGGGGAGCCTCCTTCTGAGCCTTGTAGAAATGGGAGTGAGAAACCCTAGTTGAGCCACGTTCCAGCCTCAGCTGCGTCTTTCTGGTCTCCCGCACCCCCCACCCATGTGCTCCCCAGCCGGCAGGGGGAGTCTGTGAGGTCCTGTCCTGAGGCTGCTGTGTGGGGCTGGTGGCTGCCCTCAAGGTCCCTTCCGGAGCTGCTGCAGTTGCCACTGCTTCCTGCCCCTCCTGGCATCAGGCGCCTGGATTGAGCTGTGCGGCTTTGCTTTGTCCGGGCTTGTGTGCAGGGCCTGGCTGTGCTCCCATCTGCACATCCTGAGGAGGGGAAAAGCTGGGTTCTCGCTGTGCCCTCCTGCGTTTAATGTTCTCTCCTTCAGAGACTGACAGGCATCGTTCTCCATGGGGCTTTCTGCATGTGACGCTGGATAAGCGTAGTAAGTCCAGCCTAGGAAGGGAAGGATTTTGGAGGTAGGTGGCTTTGGTGACACTCTCACTTCTTTCTGAGCCTCCAGGACACTGTGGCCTGTTTTAGAGACATCTCATTTTTCTAAAGATGAATTCTCAGATGATATGTGAACCTGAGTTGCAGATATACCAACTTCTGCTTTTATTTCTTAAATTACAAAGATTATCTAGTTAAGAAACTTCCTAGGGAACTGGGGAAACTATGTGTTTCCTGAAGCTAGTGAGATAGGGGTTAAGATAGGAAGAACTCTCTCGGTAATGATAAGGAGACTCTCTTGTTTCCTCCTGTGTTGTAAAGATAAACTGACGCTATACATGCACATTATGCAGACATGTATACACACACACACAGTGAAACCGAAGCCTGACGCCCGCGCACGGTCCTGCAAAACGCTTCCAAAGCCACCTAAGCCTGTTCTATTGGCAGCAACCCCAAAGCACCTGTTAAGACTCCTGACCCCCGAGTGCCCTGCAGCCCCCATGCCCACCTGGGACCTGGTCAGCACAGATCTTGGTGACTTCCCTTTCTAGGGCATACTGGGAGGGTTTCCAGGAATCAGCCCCTGCCCTACAGGCGTTCATGCTGTACAGTGATCTAAAGTTGGTAAGATGTCATAATGGACCAGTCCATGCCACTCCAGTGTATACAACTCCACCAGACCCCTCTGACCCATATAACACCCCACCCCCGTTCGCTTCCTGTATGGTGATATCATATGTAACATTTACTCCTGTTTCTGCTGATTTTTTTTAATGTTCTGGTTTGTTTTTGACATCAGCTGTAATCATTCCTGTGCTGTGTTTCTTATTATCCTTGGTAGGTATTAGACTTGGACTTTAAAAAAAAACAAACAAAAAAAAACCGTTTCTGCATCGTGGAAGCGTTTGACCCTGAGTGGAAAGCGTGGCCTCTGGGGTGGCTTCCTTCAGGTCTCTTTCCTTTGGTTCTCTGAGTATTCTTTGCTTTCATCTGTCTCCCGTCTTTGGTTCTCCTGTTCAAATTATTACAAAGTAAAAGATCTTTGAGTAGGATTGGTCTGAAAGGCGGCCTTTATATTCTATATTCGATCCACACACGTTGGTCTTTTAACCATGCTGAGCAGAAAACAAAACAGGTCAATATAAGTGCCCCGTGGCAGCCGAGAGGCGAAGCCGCTCAAATAACTTCCCAGTGAATAATGGCGATATATATATATAGTTTAAGAAGTCTCTCCATTTGGCATCGTTTAATTTATACGTTATGTTCTAAGCACAGCTCTTTTCTCCCTTTCATCCTGCAAGCAACTCAAAATATTTAAAGTTTACATTGTAGTTATTTTCAAATCTTTGCTTGATAAGTGTGAAGAAATATCGGACTTGCTGCCGTAATTTAAAGCTCTGTTGATTTTGTTTGTTTCTGTTTGGATTTTGGGGGAGGGAGCACCGCGTTTATGCTGGAATATGGAGTCTGAGACCTTCCTGTGCTGGGAACACACAAGAGTTGCTGAAAGTTGACAAGCAGACTGCGCATGTCTCTGATGCTTTGTATCATTCTTGAGCGATCGCTCGGTCCGTGGACAATAAACAGTATTATCAAAGAGAGTGTGGGCTGTCTCCGTGTGGCTGTGTCTGATGTTCAGAATGGCCACTTTCTAGCTCAAGAATGTGAATCAGCCCTTGCAAAGGAGGCTTTCCTGTCCGGCGGGAGAGGGGCTCCCTGTGTCCTCCAGAGAAATGGCTGGTGTGCTTTGAGTCAAATGTGGGGTGCAGGCCAGGCATGGTGGCTTACACCTGTCATCCTAGCACTTGGGGAGGCCAAGGCAGGTGGATCGTTTGAGCCCAGGAGTTCGAGACCAGCCTGGCCAACATGGCAAAACCCCGTCTCTACCAAAAATAGGCGTGGTGGCACGCATCTGGTCCCAGCTACTCAAAAGGCTGAGATGGGAGGATCACTGGAGCCTGGGAGGCGGAGGTTGCAGTGAGCTATAATCACACCACTGCACTCCAGCCTGGGCAACACAGTGAGACCCCGTCTCAAGAAAAAAAAAAGAAAAGTGAGATTCAGTGGCAGAGATGGGACAGATAAAAGCAAATGTGGTTTTCTTAGCTGGATGAAGAGGCGGAAGCGTAGGACAGGACCCTCTTCATTCAGCACGTGCCTACACCTTTTATTCTGGAGACACTCAGATCCACACACCCATCTCCCAGCTTCCACACTGAGGGCGGGTGGCCAGCGCTGGACCTACACAAAGCCTTCACCCACCCTGCCCAGAATTGTTTGGAAGAAAGAATTCCAGGCATCAAACAATCTCATTTATAAATGTTCCAGTACACATATGTTTAAAAAATAAGTTAAAACCTTTTTCCAGGCTGGGCATGGTGGCTCACACCTGTAGTCCCAGCACTTTGGGATGCCAAGGTGGGCGGATTGCCTGAGCCCAGGAATTCAGGACCAGCCTGGACAACATAGAGAAACCCCATCTCTACAAAAAATGCAAAGATTAGCTGGGCGTGGTGGTGCAAGCCTGTAGTCCCAGCTACTCAGAAGACTGAGGTGGGAGGATCACTCGAGCCCAGGAGGTGGAGGGTGCAGTGAGCTGAGATTGCGCCACTGCACTCCAACCTGGATGACAGAGTGAGATCCTATGTAAAAAAAAAAAAAAAAAAAAAAAAAATTCAAAATACCTTTATCATACCTTAAAAACTTAGAATTCATCATGTCATCCAACATCCAGTCGGTGGTCTTACAGCTCTGACTGTCTCATAGTTGCTTTTGTGTGGTTTATGGGTTTGAATGAGGACCCAGATAAGACCCATCCACTGCAGTCGGTTGATCTGACTCCTAGGCGTCTGTCTGTCTGTATCTCTCTCTTTTTAAACTATTGCTTCTCCTCCAAGGTCACTTTGAACATTGAGTTTGAAGCCCCTCCTTCCTTTCTCCCTCCTCCCCTCTCTCCTCCCCTCCATCCCTCCCTCCTCTCTCCCCCTTCCTCCCTCCCCCTTCCTCCTTCCCTCACTCCCTCCTTCCCTTCCCTCCTTCCTTTTTTGAAACAGAGTCTCTCTCCATTGCCCAGGCTGGAGTGCAGCTGCATGATCTCGGCTCAACGCAACCTCTACCTTGACAGTAGCTGAGATGATGGGTGTGCGCCACCACGCCGGGCAACTTCTATTTTTAGTAGAGATGGGGTTTCACCATGCTGGCCAGGCTGGTCTCAAACTCCTGGCCTCAAGTGATCCTCCTGCGTCGGCCTCCAAAGTGCTGAGTTTACAGGCGTGAGCCACCTTGCCTGGCCTCCTGGGTCTCTTATTCTACAGGTTGTTTCTCCCTGCTCCCACCCTATCTCGTGCTGAGAAACATGGTCCCATCTAATTCAAACTTCAATCAAAAGTCTCATAATCCTTCGCCATATGGGCATTCTTTAATGGCATATTTGAACAGTTGCCCACCCCCAACCCACGTGCACGGTTTGTGATGCAGGATTTGTTATTCCAGGGGCAGCCAGAAGAATCGTTTTCCTACTGTGTACAGCTGTTGCCTAAAAAGCAAGAACACACTTAGGACATCTGCAGCCACAAACAGGAAGCTTGCTCCAATGTCACATTAAATTCCATCCCCTTAATATCTACTGCAGAAATATTTGGATTGTTTCTTTTATATGTCCAAATATGTAGGGAAAATGGTTGAGTGGTATACTATAACAAAACTGTCCATTTCATACAAAGGAGCTTACTTGGCATTTGCAGCCCACATGTGGAGTTTTAGTAAGCAGCACGCCAGGTGATTGCTACCCTTTTCATTTACTTATGTATTTAGGTCAAACTTAAACTCATTGTGGAAAATTTTAAAACATACACAAAAATGTGGAGAATGATATAACCAACTCCATGCGTCTATGATCTGTTTTCAACAATTATCCACGTTTTGCTGATCTTTGCAAATGATTTAAAATCAGTTTGTAGGCTGGACGCGGTGGCTCACACTTGTAATCCCAGCACTTTAGAAGGCCAAGGCAGGTGGATCACGAGATCAGGAGTTTGAGACCAGCCTGGCCAGCATGGTGAAACCCCATCTCTACTAAAAATACAAAAATTAGCCAGGTGTGGTGGCACATGCCTGTAGTCCCAGCTACTTGGGAGGAAGAGGCAGGAGAATCATTTGAAGCCGGGAGGTGGATGTTTGTTACAGTGAGCCGAGATCTCTCCACCACTCCATCTCAAACAAAAACCGACTAAGCCAGGCGTGGTGGCAGGCACTTGTTATCCCAGCTACTTGGGAGGCTGAAGCAGCAGCATGGCTTGAACCCAGGAGGTGGAGGTTGACATGAGCTGAGATCATGTCACTGCGCTCCAGCCTGGCAACAGAGTGAGACTCCGTGTAAAACAAGGGAAGAAAAAATCAGTTTGTAGACCCACATATGGGGTAATGACATTGTTAGGAACGCAACCAGACACCATGGTTTCCTCTCAGTCTTGCTTATCCTGTGAAAGAAAAATGAATGGGCACAGGTGAGGCCAGCCTGGCGCCCTCGTCCTCCTGGCCTGGTCAGCACTGGTAATAATAATTAAGCAAATGTGTTCACTCCTTCATGACCTGCATGTTCTTAAGTCCTTTGTGGGAAGAGTCCAGGGTGGTTTCATTCACCAGCATGTGGAACAGAGAAAACGAGAAATATTTGTTGGACGAATCAATTTGTTTGGTGCCACAGGGTGACAGGAAGGGGTGCCAGCCCCACGAGAACAGTGAGGGTTCCATGTGGCAGAGGCCTGGAGCTTCTACCCCAGGAGTCAGGGGCTGGGGCCCTTTGGGTCCCTCTGGGCAGGAAGGAGCTCAGAGAGGTGAAAATTTGGGGGAGATGGCTGGCGCCCAGAGATGGCTGGCACCACAGGGGCGGGGACTGCAGGAGGCTGTGTGGGGCCAGACTTGGAGGAGGGCGACGGAGCAAGGCGAAGGGCTGGCGAGTGTGAGCGTAAGAGTCGGTGGGTTTTGAAAGTGTGTGTGTGAGGATGTGAGCAAGAGAGTATGTGTGTGTGTGTGTGTGTGTGTGTTGGGGAAAATCCCTGGGGCCAAACTTATTGTGGAATGGGTGGCATCCTGCCCAGATGCATTCAGGGGAAGGACCTCTGCCAGCCTAGGGCACATCTGGCTGAGGTGCCCCTTACTAGAGAGCAGTACCAGCGGACGGATGCAGGGGACCCACAGCCTGAAGACCAGGGTGCACCTCCCCAAACAGCCGGCTGCCTGGAGGGGCTCTTTCTTCCCTTCCCAACAGCTGGCTGCCTGAAGGGGCTCTTTTCTTTCCCTCCCCTCCCCCTCCCCTCCCCCTCCCCTCCCCCCTCCCTCCCCCTCCCCTCCATTCCCCTCCCCTTCCCTTCCTTCCCTTCGCTTCCTTTCCATTCCCTCCCCTCCCCTCCCTTCCCTCCCTCCCTTCCTTTTTTTTTGTGGTAGCATTTCACTCTTGTTGCCCAGGCTGGAGTGCAATGGCACAATCTCGGCTCGCCGCAACCTCCACCTCCTGGTTTCAGGCGATTCTCCTGCCTCAGCCTCCCGAGTAGCTGGGACTACAGGCATGCGCCACCATGCCCGGCTAATTTTTTGTATTTTTAGTAGAGACGAGGTTTCACTGTGTTAACCAGGATGGTCTCCATCTCCTGACCTCATGATCTGCCCGCCTTGGCCTCCCAAAGTGCTGGGATTACAGGCGTGAGGCCCTGGAGATGTGTCCTATTCAAAGGAGGCAGAGAGCCCCCAAAATGATTGAGATTGGGAATTCCAACCAACGATGGGGGAGAGGTATTCAACTAATGTAGATTACCAAAATAAAACAAGAGAAAAGGCCAGGCACGGTGGCTTATGACTGGAATCCCAGCACTTAGGGAGGCTGAGGTGGGTGGATCACCTGGGGCCAGGAGTTTGAGCCCAAACATGGTGAAACCCCATCTCTATTAAAAATACAAAATTAGCTGGGCATGGTGGTGCATGCCTGTACTTCCAGCTACTTGGGAGGCTGAGGCACGAGAATTGCTTGAACCTGGGAGGTGGAGGTTGCAGTGAGCCAAGATCGCACCACTGCACTCCAACCTGGGCAACAGAGAGAGACTCCAAAGGAAAAAAAAAGAGAGAAAAAAAGTACAAAATATGTATCCTGACTTGTCCCAAAGCATCTCGGAGCAGCCACTGCTCTTGATAGCGCCCTCTGTGGTCCCAGCTCCTGTGGTCCCAGCTCCTGTGGTCCCAGCTCCTGGCCACCAGCTGCCTGCGCCGGGGCTGCAGCCTTGCACAGCTGTTCTCCTGGCAGAGTCAGATGCCTGACGGTCAACACCACAGAGGAAGGATGACTTTCTCCCCTCCCTCTGAGACTAGAAACAAAATGGAAGCGTGGTGAGAATGGTGGCAAGCAGCCAAAAGAGCCACTTCCTTTGGGTATCAACAGGCGACCTGGCGTCATGGCTTCTGTCTTCCCCAAGCACCTGTGCCTGGCAGCTGCCTGTGCTGTGCACCTTTTGGGGCGATGCTAATGACATATTTCCTGGGAGCCCTGCCCTATCTGCAGGGATGGGAAGGACAGCGTGCGTCAACCTTCTTCCTAAGGAAGGCGGCATCC